GGGTGTTTTTTTTATAGCGCCGTGTCTTTTTCCCCTCCCTGCCGGGCGGTTGGGTCCGGCCTGTGCCACCTTTATGCTGGTGGGAGCTGGTCCTGCCGGGAGTGCGGGGCTGCTCAGCCCGGCCCCGCTGCGGGACCCGCTCAAGGGCGGCGGCAGAGAGAGCACTAGCATGGCGCGGTTTCCGTAGTGTAGTGGTTATCACGTTCGCCTAACACGCGAAAGGTCCCCGGTTCGAAACCGGGCGGAAACACCAGTGTTTTTTTCCCCCCCTTCATTTTCCCGTATCACCGTGGGGGGAGCGGCCGGTCCTTCCCGGGCAGGCCTTGGGAGGTCCCCGCAGCAGCAGCAAACTCCGGACGAAACATGGAGAACCAGCAGGATTCCGGCCCCGTGGTGAGTCGGCCCGAGAACAGCCCCGGTTTGGCTGCAGGTCAGGCCAGTCCATCACGCAATTCCTGGTGCTGCCGCAAAGCAGCTGAAACCCGGATCTTCCCGCGGCAAAGCCCGGCTGGAGGCAGAGGGAAGGAAAAAGCGATGGATGCTCACTGGAATAGCTTACATTGCTGTCTTAGAAAGTGCAAACACACGACTGTTTTCTCACGGCTTCCCCTGTGAATGAAACCTCCTGCTCTGCTGCACCGAAGAGCAAACCAGAGAAAACACAGAAAATAACTACACGTAAGGTAGTTACAGTACATTAGAACTATGAAACACTGCCTAAAACCTCCAATATATATTTAATACATAAGAATGATGGGCCGTCCTCTCTCTAAACCAAAGAGGTTGAACTCACAGTCCATTAGCAGAGGGATAGAACATACATCAGCTGAAGGTCTCCTCCTCTTAAACTGCCCATCTCTGGCCTTTGCATTGCAAGGTTCTGCGACAGGACCCGTCACCAGGGCCAAAGTCCATTTTTCCAAATAGGAAAGGGGAGATGCCTCCTCACCAGGTACTTCTGTGGTGGGTTTCCCAGCACACTGCCAACCCTTACAGCTCACAGGTTATTTTATCATGTCACCTGCTTGCCCTGTTCTCCACTGGACGGGATTACTCTGCCTTGGACACCATAGCAGCCCATTTGGAAAGCCATCTGCATGGAAGAGTGACATGGACTCCTGTCCAGGGAGAAACATCTGGCAGTTTTTTCAGCCCCTTTCCAGAAAATACAAGCTGGAGGCACCTGGACCCCAAGAGGTTACCCTTCCTGTTGCTACATGAAAAAGGCCAGGCCTAGTTCTTTTCCTCCCGTGGCTCCACCGTGCTCTCCTGCCCTGTGCAGCTTCAGCAGCTCCCTCCCAAAGATCTGGACCGTGTCTGCACATCGTGATGCAAAACTAAGCTGCAAACTTCATCAGCCTTATAGTCCTGTTCACCTTCTTCTCTCTCCTGCTTCTTCCACATGCTGTCTTAGATCTATACTTGGATTGTAAGCTCTTCCACTCCAAGATTGAATCCTGGTGGACTTTAAAGCACAGCACAAACTGCATATTGCGCTGCATAATCTGCCTGGAAGGCAACATGCTTTGCTCTGAGCATGAAGGGGCTCACATGGAGAACAACAGCTGCTCAGCTTTCCAAAAGGAACATGGACAGGACACAACTGCTCTCATTGATTCATTAGCAAGAAAGGAATAATTATTTAAAGGAAAAAAACACTGGGAGAAAAATAAATGGCAATAGCCAGTCATGAAAAATATCAAGATCAAAATCAATTTGTAAGCAGCACCACAGTGAATTTCTAGCAGTGCTCTAGCAGGTATTTAAAAATCTATCTAGGCAGCTTTGCAGATGAGCTGGTTTATGGGCAGGTTGAGAGAAGGTTGTTCCTAAAGTCTGTTTGATAAAACGTGTTTGAATATATAATGAAGTAGTAAGATCTGACTCAATGCAGAGCTGCTTCTGGACTGAAACCTGTAAATCTCCAAGTGCCACAAGTGTGCTTTTCCCAACTCGGAAGACACAAGATCATGTGATCCAAGAGGTGAAGCAGCATGTAAAATACAATCCCTTTAAGTGCTCAAAGCCACTAGACTTTTAGAAGCTTACCCTGTAACACTGACAAACCTCCAAAATACAATTACTAGCTTCTGCTCACTAACCATACTTGCTCTATACCCACCCAGCCTATTCCTAATTGTCTGAAAAACTAATACTTGCTTTCTCTTTATAGCAAGTTAAAACCTGATCATCCAGCCTTCATTTTAAAACTAGTCCCAAAACAAAAAGCCCAGTCACCACTAAATTCCAAATGCTTTTTTTTGGGCATGGGGTTTTCATTCAATCTCAGCTGAATTCACACTTGCACAGGGTTAAAGGCAGTAAAACATTGACAAAAACAGACCAATCTGCTCAGCATCTTTTCAGCAACCATTTCTGAAAAAAGGCAGCAAAGAACTTGCAGCACTAACAGATTTACTTTAATCTCAAGTGCTATTTATTTTCTCTTGCAGCATCTATACATACGGGTACTCACAATGTCTGCTGCACAGCTGCAGAGGCAGGACTAACACTGGTTTGCTGAGATGCTGCCAGCAGCCACCAGAGCCCTTGCTTCTGTCTAGGCACGTACGCACCAGAGATGTGCCCTCATACCTTTCCCTGCTATTATCTTACTCCTTACAGCAGGACTTCTTCATCTTCTAGTGGGGTCTCTTCTGCACCTTGCCCTACACATCCTGCATTCCTCCAACCCCAGGCTCGATGCTCCACCCCCCCCTTGGTCTGTGCCATGTCCCAAGCCAGTGGTGAAGGAGCTCCCACTTCACAGCCACAGGCAGCTGCAATCCAGTTGGTCAGTGATGGCACCTACCCCTGCTCAGGGAAACCTCTGCAACAGGCAGTCCTGGTGGTGAGACATTCTGCTTTTTACTCATTTGTATACGTAGAAAACACTGGTTACAAAATTCCACAAGAAAATCCTCCTCCCTCCCGTCTTGCCGAGACATCTATTTTATTCACTGACAAGTCAAACTCTAAGTCTGGTGAGTTTATTTTGTTGGGTTTAGTTTGTTTTTTAAATAAGGGCATTCACAAGCAGGCAATAATTTCACCATCAGTACACTGGCCCTTTACATTCAGAATCCATTGGTTTGTTTTCTATTGTAACATTACCAGTTACAACATTTAAAACAAAGAAGAAACTCAAGTTCTTTATGAATACTTTTATTACAAGAATGAAACCATTTATGACCTAAAGTGTCAGTTTGATAAACAGGTCTGTAACTGCAAGAGAAATAGCTTGGCAAGGTGAGTCCAGTGCCACTGACAGCTTTCAAACACTTTTTGAACCTGGTTCAAGCAATCTTACACTATTTAGATCTGCAGCCATGCCCTGTAATTACAATTGTGTTCAACTGCATCCTGGGAGAGGAAGACTGAGGACTTGTATTTTGAACTTGGGATCTAAACTAATGAAAAAATGCAGAATATCTCTAAAAATGGCTGAAACAAAGACTTGCTGACAAAATCCTTGTTATTTCTGAGTACAAGAAAAATGTACAGCTAATCTAATTTAGCATATAATCCCCTCAGCTCTGCCTTTGAATTTAAAAGACTCCCATCTAGCAAAATGAAAGCTGTACAAATCCATGAACACCAAGATGTGAATCCCTCTGCTTATTCACTGCTGTCTTGCCACCTTTTCCAATTACTTTCTTCCTACTGACCTTGCCTCTCCTGCTAGCAAGTACAGCAATGGGTGCTAACTTACAGTTAATTTTATTTCTTTTATTAGTGAATTTGCAGCTATGAGTAATTAAAAGCTACATCTGATATTATTTCTTAGTTCTGCAAACTCTGGCCCAAATCTTATTAATTTTACTTTAAAAAATAAACTGGCTTAGAAAAATATCTTGCCAAGTTACATTTTCAATTACCCAGGATAAAAACTCAGTATGTACAATAACCTTAGACAGGAAAATTTCTGCAATGTATCCAAAGGGTGTAGAGATCAGGGTGAGCTTGTTAGAACTGTCATTCTGAGAGGAGCAGAGTTCCTAATTGAACACCGGCCTTGAGTTTAGTGTTGCAAATGATCTCAGTATCAAAGGATGCAAACATCCCTGATTCGGGAAGGTACTTTAAAAAAAAAAAAAGTCAGACAAAAGGACTTCAAGAGTTGGATGATCCTGTAAAATTAATTGCTACTACCTGAAAAATATTTCTAACACCATTCCATTGACAAGACTACTGAAATGTATTATTTCTTCAACTCTGTAGAATATGGGTAAGTTTTCCATACTAAAAGCAGCAAAAATTAAGACTCACAGGAGCTTTTAATTAAACATCATATCTGACAGCTAAAGTAACTGCTTCTTAGAAAAATAAAATGCATCAAAACCTTATTTGTCTGCTACAGTAAAATTATAAGAAAAAAAATACTTCAAATGTAAATTGTTCAAGTACATCCAGTGTGCAATTAAATTAGTTAGAAAACATAATTTAATAGTGCTTTGTTTCAAAATATACATAATATTGAAAAATACTTAAAGAAACTTAGTATTTACCAAGTTTCAAACAGAGTTTCATCAAAATGAGGTACATCTATGTCACCTGCCATTGAGCTTGGTGCTGAAATGGAGAACAGGTCTTCAAGGATATCTTCTCTCACAGGGCTTTCAAAAGCAAGTTTTTTCACACTGGGTTTGCTTATTGCATGAAGTTCTGAGTAACTTTCCTTCAAAGGACTGTAATAGTTGTGGTCCTCGTTCGTCACAGCTGCATGTGGCACACTGGACTTCTCATCAGTCACTGTTGCTGCAACATTGCTATCCACCATTTCCATGTACATACATTCATCTTCACTTCTGGGTGCCTCTAAGGAAGCAACAGTTGAAGTAGGGGACAGAAGTTCTGCCAGTATTTCGTCACTGCTATTATGGCTACTGCACCCTGATACAGAGTTTGCATTAAATTCAGATTCTTTATCTGCAACGTCCATCTGATGTTGCAGTTCCCTTAAAAAGCTCTGCAGTAATTCACTGTCATTGTGAGAAGCAGTCTGTGATGGGGTGCTCACATGTCCACTCACAGGGTTTCCACATTTCATCTGTTCCACTGCCAGCCTATCCAGCGAAGCCAACTTCTTCTTTTTAGCATTCAGTTTTTTTAACAGCTTTAGGCGAAGCTTTTTTGTTTTGTCCCTATCTGACATCTCTGCCTTCCCAGAGTTACAGGTAGGTGAATGGAGCTGAGTTGCATTACCTGAGCTACCCAAAGCACTTCCTGATTTAGTCCAAGTTGGACCTTTTACAGTGGTATGACTTGTTGTTGGAAGACGAGCGCTTTGAGAGAAACCTTTGACATTTGATAAAGGATGAGTATTACTACTCTGAGGAGCCACTGGCTTTGGAGTCTCAGTTGTTCTGTTTCCAGCTCTGCTTTGAAATCCACCAAAGTTACTTGCTCCCTTAACTGGCAACGGCATTTCACTTACTTTTTGCACTGAGGGAGCTGTGCGCATTCTCTCATTCTTGAGAGCTGAGGCACTCGAAGGCATAAAAGAAGTGTTCTTGGTTAGTAGTTTCTTTGCCCAGCTTCCTACAAATCCTCTTTTTTGGTCTTTGTGTGAAGGCTGGAAGGAATTATTGGCAGCAGCAGAATTGGCAACCTGAGAATTAACTACAGTTTTGCTTGCATCTTTCAAGTCAGGTGATTTTTGCATACTATTCTCTACTGGTGACAACTTCTTATTTAGCTGTAGCTCTGAATTTAATCTGTGTTCTCTGTTGGGTAAATTAGTTCTGTTAGGTAAATTAGCTCTGTCATCTGTTCTTTGAGCAAGCAGCAAGTCAGTTGGATCTGGGTCATGTTTTCTGGGCACAGGAGGAGTAATACTTGCTAGGTTCAACTCTTCTAGAGGCAAGCATATGCTGGAATTTTCATATAACGTTGCTTTGTTGTTCATAGCTAGACTAGTTCCAGCAAACCCTCCTTTATATGGAGTGCTAGGTGAAGAAGCTAGTTCCCCCCATTGCAGTGTGCCCATTTCAACAAGGTTACTTCCCACCATCTGTCCATTTGACTGCGATTTACCTTCTGAGTCAACCTGAATTTCTTCAAGCATCAGTGTTACAAGATCATCACGTGCCACATTTTCCAAGTCATGATGAACACTACTTTCATCCTCAGTTACCCGCTGCTGTTTCTGATCTGGAGTTCTTACAGAATCCTCTTTGTGATGTTCTGCAGGTATTTTATCCACAGTGTTAATAACACCACAATGCAAGACTGTGGAATTTGGCTGTACATTATTAAGACGAAAATCTTCAATATTTTTACTCTGGAACTGTGCATTCAATTCTTCTGACACACGGGATGTTTTCTTTTCCCAGATAACAATATGAATCTCTGAAGGAGGAACTTCAAATCTTGTATATCTCTTGCAATATGGCCCCTTTAAATCATCACATTCAAGCCAAGTTCCTGAAAAATAAACAGCAACCAGTGTAAAGACTCAAAGACTTAAAATTGAAGTCACTATCCTCAGACATTTGTGAAATATTTTGCTTAACCCATTTCTCTGACAAGCAGAACATAAAGGGTTTTTTCTCCATTCTTTCATTCTCCATTCATCTCTCCATTCTCCATTTATCATCAGGAAAAATGGGGAGATTTCCACTGTAAAAAGATCATACACAAGCAGAATTTGCAGCAATATCATTAAAAGTCAGAGTAGGTAAATGAAAAAAAAACCACTAAGATATTTGTCTGAGTTAAAAATGCTTGTCTGAATCAAAATGTGGGCCTGTGGCTGAATGAAGTGGGTGCTGTGGTGGTGGAGGATACGGAGAAGGCAGAGTTGCTGATCCCTTTCTTTGCTTCTGTCTTCACTGCTAAGGCTGACCCTCAAGAGTTCCAGACCTTCAAGACCACAGAGGAAGTGAGGAGAAAGGAAGACCCTGCCTTGGTTGAAGAGGACTGGGTTAGAGCTAAGTAAAGTGGACATCCACAGATCCATGGGCCCCAACAGGATGGACCTGAGAGTGCTCAGGTAGCTGGCAGAAGTCATTGCTAGACTGTGTTCCATCATCTTTGGCAAATTGTGGAGAACAGGAGAGATGCCCGAGGACTGGAGAAAAGCCCATGTCACTCCAGTCTTCAAGAAGGGCAAGATAGAGGATGCAGGTAACAACAGACCAGTCAGCCTCACCTCCATCCCTGAAAAGATGATGGAACTGCTAGTTCTTTTCTGCCATCTCAAAGCATGTTGAGGTAGACGGTCATCAGGAGTAGTGAGAATGGATTCACCAAGGGGAAGTCATGCTTGAGCAATCTTTGATGGCATAACTGGATGGATAGATAAGGGTAGAGCACTGGATGTGGCATACCTTGATTTCAGCAAGGCTTTCAAGCCTGTCCCCCATAGCATCCTCACAGTCAAACTAAAAAAGTATGGACTGGATGATAGGGCAGTGAAGTGGATTGGATATTGGTTGAAGGACAAAGATCAGAGTTGTGGTAACTGCGGCAGAGTCTAGCTGGAGACTTGTGTCTAGTAGGGTCACCCTTGTGTCTAGTAGGGATTGGTACTGGGTCCAGCCCTGTTCAATATATTCCTTAATGGCCTGGAGGAAGGGACAGAGGGTATCCTCAGCAAGTTGGCTGATGATATCAAACTGGGAGGGGTGGCTGACACACCAAAGGGCTGTGCCATCCAGTGTGACCGGGACAGACTGGAGAGTTGGGCAGGAAGTGTGGGGTATTGCACTGTAGGAATAACCCATGTCAGTACTGGTTGGGAGCTGATCTGCTGGAGAGCAGCTTTGGGGAGAAGGACTTTGGGGTCCTAACGGACAACAGGCTGCCCATGTGCTGACAACGTGCCCTGGCAGCCAAGAAACCTAATGGCATCCCGGTGTGCATTAAGAAGAGTGTGGCCAGCAGGTTGAGGGAGGTTCTGCTCCCCCTCTACTCTGTCCTGGTGAAGCTGCACCTGGAGTACTGTGTCCAATTTTGGGCTCCCCAGTTCATAAAGGATAAGGAACTACTAGAAAGTCCAGTGCAGGGCCACAACAACTATTAGAGGAATGGAGCATCTGCCCTATGAAAAAAGGCTGGATCTATTTAGTCTGAAGAAGAGGAGACTGAGGGGGCATCTCATAAACGCTTATAAATATCTTCAAAGATATTTGATTTATAAATGATCTTCAGAGGTCCCTGCCAACCCTGATGATTCTATAAGACACGCACAGTTCTGAGTGAAGGGCCATCTCTCAAATTAAGTTCCTCTGTAGACTTATACATTTCTTGGGTGAGAGGCGCGGGGGTTTAAAAGAAACTGCTCATTTTAATAGTCTGCCTCACCATCTGCAAGTCGTTCATATGTCATGAGCAAATATTTTACAGCTTTAAGAATTTCAAAATAAATATACCTCATGTATAGGATGTTCCTAACAAGGCACTTCTCCACTACTTGCTCTTCCTATTTCTTCTTAAAACTCTGGCAGTACAATTTATACAATTCTTGTGTTGTCAGAACACTTGTTAAGCCTGCATTCCATTCTCTCTACAGAAGCATGAGAATCAAAATATCGACTTTTCACCTTCTGTGATTATAAAGTTTCTATCAATGGTACAATCATCATACCATTAATAATGCTACTAACATGGTATTGTGCTTCAGGTACAGTACATTTCAGAAGTGACAAGAAACTTCATTAATGCTGGTAGTTCCATAGGTTCCCTCACTTCCAGCCAAGAATGGATTAAAAGTAACCAATATAATTTGTCCCAGAGCCATGCTCAGACTGTATTTTTAAACTTTTACAAGCTTAAAACTCTACCCAAATAACTTTTGGCACTGAGTACAGGACAGTACAGAACACTGCTGAAGAAATCAGTTACACCAAACTGAAACCTTCACCCTAAATAATAAAGTTCCCAGTTTTTCATAAAACTTTAACATGAAGCATAGAAGACAGACAAAAGAAATCCCTTTCATTATATGCAGACTGTTGAAACTATTGCAGTAACACATTAAACACTATTTGCTGTAAACTCAGGAAGAATTATAATCAAATTCATGGTTCTTACCATCAGGATTCAAAGCCCAGGTTATGAAGTGCTTCTTATCTGTTTGATATTGAACAACAGATGTTATTTGGTAGGTGTCTTCTTCAAATTGAAATGAATAGCTCTTCAGGTTGTTATGTGGCAAGCCTTCTACGAAATGTAACATTAATATTGAGGATATTCTAATAAAGAAACAATAAAGAATAAGTTTATTACAACAAAATAGTGGCAAAAGTTCCTAGTGGAAAAGTAAGGAATCTCAAAGAGTATGCAGTCCTGCTCTTAGTATTCTACTTCCACACAGGGTTCTTCAGAGTGTATGGTAGTCAAAGGATAAGAATATCTCAACTGGATATTCCATTTTGTTATAGATTTGGGGAAGAAACACAAGCACATAAGGAATTTTGGGAGTGAGGAAAACGTGAAAAAAAATAGGAGACAACTGTGCCGTAACTACAGAAGGAAAGGACACTGTTCCTAAGTCAAACTAGTAAACATAAATGATCAGACAACAGGGGTTTTAGAAAAGCTGACGGTCAGCATTTTAAACACTGCTCTATATGTTTCAGTCTTACTAAACATCATTTGCCACCTCAGCATTTAAGAATTACCTAAAATATTTTAAAATGAGTATTTATTGGAGTTTAAAGTTTAGAGTCTCTGTAAACTCAAGAGAATAGTTCAGTTTTGGAAGTGATACCTTCAGTAAATTTTTTATGTATTTTATTTTCAAGTTAATGTATTCAAACTTACTTTTCCAGTATCATCTGTCTTCTTTGAGATCTATCACTGCAGCTATTACATGGTCCAACATGAACAGCATTAAGTGGATGCCAATGGGGGATTATATTTGTGAATGTTGTTAGTGTTTTCCTAACTCTGGAAACACACACACGAAAAAAAAAAGAGTTAATCGAGTTGTTGATCAGAAAACAATGAAAATACACACTTTACTAGGAGAAAAAAAAAATATTAAAATGTTAAGACAAAGCCAAATTCTATTCATATTCCTGCCATTTCTACAAATTCCCCTGTGACTGCATCACATCCAAGTCAGCACTGAATTCAGCTCTGCCAAACAGTATCAGTCACCCTTTGTTCTCAGCAGCTCTGTGGCCTTCAATTTTGCAGTATTTGCTCTTTCTCCCTTAACATGTTATCTCTGTTTCCTTTCCAACATAAGACAGAGCTTGTACCAGGATCTGCATACTCTACTAGCTAATACAGACCTCAAGGAGAAAGCGCTAGCAAATTACATCAGATGTTATACAAGGTCTTATTTTCAAAAAACAGTACAGTCAGAACTGAGATTACACAGAAGTTATATTGTATGAAAATACAATGTATGAGATATTAAAGTGAAATAACATAGTTTATTAATTCATTACCCACATAAAAGACTTCCTTTATATACAACCTAATCTAGATTTTTCAACTTTTAAAAAAATCCACAGAGTAACAAAGGCTCTTGAACACATCCTATTATCCAGGACTACACATTAGCTGACAGCACAGATTTCATTAATCTCACCTCACTTGAGGATCTAGAATTTTATTGCATAAACCTGAGATAGTGGAAACAGGTATTTTTGAAGCACAGTGTGCTGTCTTCTGAGGGTATCTCTTTTTCTGCTGACTCTAAAAGGAGGCTAAATGACTAGCTTGTACCTGCAGCTACACAGACCTAATCAATTTTCAGTAAGTTACTTCCCAGTAAGACTATTTTTAAATAGATAAATTATGCGAGAGAATCTGTTTCTTTGTAATCCAAATTAATATTACAAATATTTTTCAGCAGCAAAAGTGTACTTCATTCTTTAGAATTACAACTTCTATACTTGTCAAACTATCATAGCGAGTGTTCTGGTTTGGTGGGTTTTTTGGCAGCAGGGGAAGGGCGTCAGGAGTGGCTTCGGTAAGAAGCTGAGAAGCTCCTCCTGCTCCAAACCCAGCCAAGGAGCCATTAGAAGGACAATAGATGCACCTCAGCCATTAAAAGGAAGAACAGCTATAACACCTGAGCAGAGAAGCACTTGAGGTAGAAGAGCTGTGCCAGAGCAGTCCTGGGGAAGGAGAGTGGTGCTGGTGGTTGGTGAGGACAAGGGGGAAGAAGGTGCCTGTGCAGAAGTTTCCCTGCAACCCATGGTGAGATGGCAGGCAGTCCCCCTGCACTCGTGCAGGAACGTGGTGGAACATTCCCTGAAGGCGCCAGGAGGGGTGAACTTGGCCAGTGGACTTGGATTTTGTGGCCAGAGGATTTGCTGCCTATGGACTCTGCGCAGCTTTGGAAGACCCCGGCGCCAGGGGAGTTTGTTCCTGAAGCAGCCCCTGACTCTGTGGGAAGCCCAGGCTGGAGCAGCTCTGGACCTCGTGGGAAGGACTCAGGAAGGAGAGGTTCATGGAGGACTCTGTCCCATGAGAGGGACCCCGTGGGGAAGCAGGGAAGGACTGTAAGGAATTCTTCTTCCTGAGAAGGAAGGAGCAGCAGGAACTACCAGCCTGTGAAGTGACTCTAAACCCCATCCCATGTCCCCCTGTGCTGCTGGGGAGAAGGAGGGAGAGAAACCGGGAACAAAGCGATTTGGGCGCGGGAAGGGAAGGGTGGGGTAACATATGCAAGCCCTGCTCTTTGTGTTGTCTGTGTCCTGTGTGTGTTTGCTTACTGTGAAATTAAATTATTATTTTTTTCACCCGAGTTGAGTCTGTTTTGCCCGGGACCTTAATAGGTGAAGAACCCTCTTTGTCCTTTGTCTCGACCCATGACCTCTGTCGTCCTCATCCCAGAGTGTGTGTGTGTGGGAGTTGAGTGAGCGGCCATGGGGCTGTTCCTTTGTTGTTGTGTTGGGCCCAAACCATGACAGCAAACATGGCCAGAGACTCACACAGTTACCTGCTATTTCTTTCTTCATTAAGTGATAACATGGTTTCCTAAGACAGCACATAGCAGTAAATTATTTGCAAACACTAGCCTAAAAAAGGGGATCACATAAAACCTCACCAACAAGCTTAAGCTGTATAAAACCTAGAGATCTGGCGAAGATCACCTATTACAAGCAGATTTAAAAAGCAGAGGTAGAACAATTATGTAGAAGCTACTTAAATAAGAATCTTACCGGTCTTGGTATTTGTAGCCACAACATACGCATTCAAACTTCCATGAAAACGAATGCAAGAATAGCTTCTCAGCTTGTTGATCCAGTTTTAAGAGTAGAGGGAGGGCAAACGCTGGACTATCCTTCTTACCTTCAGAGATGAGACAGAAAAGAAGTCACTGAATATTTGAAATCAGGTTTAAGTAGATCAAATTAGGAAGAAAATAAGCTTATTGCTATGATTTAATTCTAGTTATCCCATCAAGGCTGTGTGTCTAATCCTCACAACAAAAGGATTGAACCATGTTATTAGGTTGTTATCAGGGACAATTTCATGACCACAGCAGAGTTACAAAGACAAGAAAACGCTCTCTACAAAGTCAGAAACAGTCAAGGGACAAAACAGCTGATAACTCTGTAAAGTATGTGTATGGCACCAATTAAAAAAATAAGAAGTATTTGCAGGCCCTCTGGGAGGCATATTTACATACTATTTTTATGTATGGACATAATAGAAGGCTTTACCTGTAGAGTTTCCTGGAAGTGAATACTAAGATGCTGCACTGATTACTCACCCAATTCATTCTTAAGCCGAGGTTGAAGCTGTGTAAAAATTATGTTTCTGATTTCATTGAGATAAGATTCTGCCTTTGGAAGAACATCTGAAATAAAAAAACCCCACATATATATGTGTACATAATATATATTTAATAATACATATGTAGATAATACACATTTAAGTGTGACAGCCCCACCCTTTAACATACATGTGCATTCATTCTGTGCAAACTGATGCCTTTCATAATAACCTACTTGCCTAAAGCTGTGGGTAAAAGTGCCAATGTTTGGTGTTAATTGATTTGAAAATTAGAGAAGAATTTACAGAAGTTATTCACATTTTACTGCAGTCTGCTAACTAGAAATTATCCAACCTGACTTAAATTATGGCAAAGCATCTAAACCAATAGCTAGATAGTAATGACATTTAAGGGTAACCTAACCAAATATTACAAACACTGGAGACACAGAGATTAAGAGTAGATATTAAAACTCAAAACATTACAATCAAAAGTGCAAAAATCTGCTTGCATGCTTTGTGTCATACAATTAGTAATTACAAAATCTAAATGCTCTTTTCCAGGTTAAATAATAATTTCCTAAGTCAGTCTTTAAAATTACAATTATACTTTAAAACAGTGTACAGTATGTATCTTACTATGTATTTTAAATTAACAAGTTACATTGTTAATACACAACTACATTCTTTAAGCAAGAATGCAAGACTCTAATTCCTACTACAAAATTATGATCCTAACGTGCACAAATTAAAGGAAAGATTTAGAACAGCTACGGAAAGTATTTCTTACTTATAAAACCTATGTATATATAAGAGGTTAAGTTTCTTGCAGCTTCATTGCTTTGTTTTTAAAAAGAACTATATGTAAAAGATGCTGGCAAATTACAGAGAAGGACAAAAAACCACTACACCTATTTTCTACAACAACTTTTCACCCAGTCCCTACTCCTGCTGGAAGAAACTGATTTGTTTTGCAGTGGCTCCTGGAAATGAAAAGGGTTAAGTTATCTCAAACCACACTACATTCCAACATCTAACATCCCCATTTAAGGGTTCTTGCACACCAGAGACTCTTTAGAAACAGAGTACAACAGAGGGGAAAGAAAAACATACCAGGTTCTGTGATGGTAGAGGGCTTCCAGGTAATAGCTGAATACAGCTATCAAGAAGCCTGGCTTTCTAGCAAGCATGATATATGAACTACTTCAGAAGATTTTTGGAATTTTTTTCCCTCTGTTTTTTCTGCCATATGGTGGCTGAAACCCTTTTTGATACACCTATATTTTTCCCAGGAAAGATACTATATTCTTCAAGTTATCTATGGTTTTTCTGAGACTACAGTTTATATATCCAAAAACACTTTTCCCAGCATGTCTGTTGACAAGAAAATAATTCATGAAAGGTCCTGGCTAACTAAAGATCTATCAACTGTCTAACAGATAATCTCTTGGAAGTTTAGACTTCAGACACCAAGGGGTCAGTTCAAGAGGACTAAGCAAAACAGAACTTACAGAATCATAGAATCTTAGGGGTTGGAAGGGACCTCGAAAGATCATCTAGTCCAACCCCCCCATGCCAGAGCAGGGTTACCTAGAGTACATCACACAAGAACGCATCCAGGTGGGTTTTGAATGTCTCCAGTGAAGGAGACTCCACAACCTCCATGGGCAATCTGTTCCAGTGCTTAGTTTAAGAGTTTTAAACTGAATCCGTAGTATGGAAAATTAACAAAGGCCATACTAGTAGATTAGTGACACATTCTCCTCTGACTCCAGTGGTGCTGCCTGGAAGGTTGCCCCCAGCTGCCCATCACTGCCCCTGTGCTTGGAGTTTACACTCTTGGAACCTCTTAAGCTGCCCATGTGAGTACTTACTAACCCCTTCCAAACAATATGAATCAGGTTAATGTGTTTGACTTAATTTTGATTGAAACAGGTTAGGAAGCACTATCATCCACAGCACAGCTTACAGACCTCAGGGGAAGCATTCCTTCCACAAGTGCAGCTGGAGCCAGAAGACAAAATAAGTTCCCAGCTTTACTATTTTTGGTGTGACAAGGCAACTGCCCATTTATACGAGGATATAAACCACAACAGAAATTATTTTTAAGATTAAGATTAGAATAGCATCCTAATAAATCAGCCAGCAGAGGGGAAGGAAATAAAGCTGCAACTGGTGAGCCTACCAGGGGTAGTGTTTACAAACAGGGAAGGGCTGGTGGAAGATGTAGTGGGTGGAGGTTGTCTTGGGCACAGCGACCATGATATAATTTTCAATATGTGGTGAAGTTAGGAGGGTCGTCAGCAAAACCTCTACATTGGACTTCCAGAGGGCTGACTTTTGTCTTTTCAGGACGCTGGTTCCGGGAGTCCCTTGGGAAGCAGCCCTCAAAAACAAAGAAGCCCAGGAAGGCTGGGCTTACTTTGAATGAAATTATAAAGCTGCAGGAGCAGCAGTCTCCATGTGCTGAAAAAGCAGCCAGCGGAGAAGACGACCGGCCTGGTTAAGTGGGGAACTGTTACAAGAACTCAGAAATAAAAAGAGTGTATCAACTTTGGAAAAAGGAGGAGGTGGATCAGAAAGTATTCAAGGATAATGTAAGGGCACATAGAAAGAGAATTAAGAGATGCAAAAGCTCAGATAGAGCTTAAACTAGCCATCTCTGCAAAGGATAATAAAAAATGCTTTTATAAATACATTAATAACAAAAGGAGGGTCAGGGAAAATCTTCATTCCCTATTGGATCGGGGAGGTGGAGGAAGGAACTTACTAACAGAGGACAAGGAAAAGGCTGAGGTACTTAACACGTTCTTTGTCTCAATCTTTAACAAAAAGAATAGCTACCCTTAGGACAACTGGGCTCCTGAGTTGGTAGACAGGGATGGGGAGCAGAATCCCCCTCCTGTAATCCAGCAGGAAGTAGTTAGGGACTTGCTGTGTGACTTAGATCCCAATAAGTCCATGGGTCCAGATGGGATTCATCCTAGAGTGCTGAGAGAGCTGGCGGAAGAACTCGCTAAGCCGCTCTCAATCATTTATCACCAGTCCTGGCTGACTAGGGAGGTCCCAGATGACTGGAGGTTGGCCAATGTGACACCCACCCACAAGAAGGGCTGGAAGGATCCAGGGAACTATAGGCCTATCAGCCTGATCTTGGTGCCTGGCAAGATTATGGAACAGATCATCCTGAATGCCATCAAGCAGCATGTAGAAGACAACCAGGGGATCAGGTCCAGCCAACATGAGTTTAGGAAAGGAAGGTCCTGCCTGACCAATCTCATTTCCTTCTATGACTGGGTGACCCACCTACTGGATGAGGGGAAGGCTGTGGATGTCATGGTCTACCTCGACTTGAGCAAGGCCTTTGACACAGTCTCCCACAGCATCCTCCTGGAGAAGCCAGCAATCCATGGCTTGGACAGGTGCACCCTTCACTGGGTGAAGAACTGGGTGGATGACCAGGCCCAGAGAATGATGCTGAATGGAGCTGCATCCAGCTGGTGTCTGGTGACCAGCAGTGTGCCCCAGGAATCAATACTGGGCCCAGTCCTATTCAACATCTTTACTGATGACCTGGATGTGGGGATTGAGTCTACCCTCAGTAAGTTTGCAGATGACACCAAGTTGAGAGGAGTGTTGATCTGCCAGAGGGTAGGAAGAAGCTGCAGGAGGACCTGAGCAGGCTGGGTCAGTGAGCCGAGGCCAATGGCATGAAATTCAACAAGACCAAGTGCAGGGTTCTGCACTTTGGCCACAATAACCCCAGGCAGCACTAGAGGCTGAGGGAAGAGTGGCTGGAGAGCAGCCCAGCAGAGAGGGACCTGGGAGTACTGGTTGACAGCTGAACATGAGCCAGCAGTGTGCCCAGGTGGCCTGGAAGGCCAATGGCATTCTGGCTTGTATCAGGAATAGTGTGGCCAGCAGGAGCACGGATGTGATTCTCCCCCTGTACTCAGCACTGGTGAAGCCTCACCTCGAGTACTGTGTCCAGTTCTGGGTCCCTCACTTCAAGGTTATTGAGGTGCTGGAGTAGGTCCAGAGAAGAGAAACAAGGCTGGTGAAAGAACTAGAGGGAAAAGTCTTACAGGGATAGGCTAAGGCAGCTGGGCTTGTTTAGCCTCGAGAAGACTCAGGGGAGACTTTATCACTCTCTTCGACTACCTGACAGGAGGCTGTAGTCAGGTGGGGGCTGGGCTCTTTTTCCAGGCAACTAGCAACAAGACAAGAGGGAACAGCCTCAAGCTGCTCCAGAGGAGCTTTTGGTTGGATATGAGGAAGTACTTCCTCATAGAGAGGGCGATTAGACATTGGAATGGACTTCCTAGGGAAGTGGTGGAGGCACTGTCCCTGGATGTGTTCAAGGAAAAGGCTGGATGTGGCACTTAGTGCCATGGTGTAGCTGATGTGGTGGTGTTGGTCATAGGCTGGACTTGATGATCTTGGAGGTCTTTTCCAGCCTTGGTGATCCTGTGATTCTGTGAAAGTAAGGTCCAATTATATAAACCATTCAGAAATTCTCTGGTGTTTCAAACTGCTTTCAAAGTGTGCAAGTTTGCCCAAAGAAAAACAATTCTGGAGGTTACCAGCACTCTACTGGATAAAGAATATTACTCTGCAAATTCATGGGAATGAGTTGTAACTCGTTATTTTGAGATCCTGAAATAGAATGGAGGCATATTTAAGTGCAGTGTACTAAATTCCACATATCTGCAGCAGATCACAATAGTCTGAGTATGAATAAACAGCAGATAATTTTACTCACCTTTTACTTTACTCCTTTCACAAGTATTCAGAAGCACAGTTGCTTGATTATATTTTGTTAAGAGTTTCTGGAGTAAACATTTTCCATCATTATTTTCTTCTGCCAGAGCAAATTTTAAAGTTTCTAAGTGTACCAGTGCTGACAAAATACAATCTAACCAACAAAGTTCATGTGTGTTTCTCCACTGGAGACATAAATCTGTGTTATTAGGGGAACCTTTATCATCTTTGAGCAAAATTTCAGATGTTGAGCAAAGTTCGGAATTTGGCAAGACTGGTGTTCTGGGACTAGAAGCCTGAGGAATTTCTTGATTGTTGTTGTTGGTTGTTTCCAAATCCACCTTCTGCATGCAAGACTCCACATTGTTATTGAGTTTCTGCTGGTCATTTGGTAGGCTTGACTTGGGAATACATGAGTTATTCTGATAACATCTGATGACATGGTCTGTACTGATAGCATGCTCAACTTTTACCACATTATTAGTTCTTGCTTTTTTTGGATACGATTCAACAGGAGAAAAGTCATTGCTATCATGTAATTTCCTTTTCTTATGAGTAGATGGACCGTCATGATTTACTGCATCAGCAGAAGTAATTATGCTGTTTAGTGGTTTATAACCAAGTGGGTAGATACACTAAAGAAAAGAAAGGAAATTACAGTGAAATCTACAAAGCAATTTCAGGTGAACAAGAGCTAAAAGAAAAGTAAAAACCATACTCTAAAAATAGAATGTAGGAATTCTGTAAAGTGATATTCTAATGTAATCAATACATAAATTCAACATACATATGACAGGAAGGGTGTTTTATCCAACCAGTGTCTTGTAAGTCATTGTGAAGTAAACAGAACAGTGACAATCAACACTACTTTTCCAGTAAGTGCTTCCAATTCCTGAACACAACCATATTTTGCTAAGGGAAGTCCCTTTATTCTGCTAAATCCATTCCTTTAGGATACAGACTTGGCATTATCATCTTGTGCCTGAGAGACTTTTGGTGCCAAAACAGGCAGGGTATCTTTCAAGATATCCTGATGCATTACACAGGGTCTTATATATATATATCTATTCTGCAACCAGAATATAGTTAAATCTGCTATTACCAATCCCCAGAATGATACTACAGTTATTTAAGAATGGGAAGGAAAAAGCAACTTAAAGACCCTTATCTAGTCTACTCTTCAGCTACTACTTTAAAGGCACCAGCCCATATGGGATTGTTATACCCTCCCCTCATACACAAAGCAGCGGAGAAGGAAGAAGCAGCAAAATCATGACTCAAATATTCAGAAGTAGAGAAATCCACCTAAGGTTAAATTTAAAAGGGGAAAAAAACTCCACCATTGTAATTATAATTACAAACCAATTTGTATTACCCATACTTAAAGAAGGGAAAATGGGAAGCTCACATCTGCTAGAGTTCATATTAGTTACATGGATCAAAGTTTTGCCTTGTACTCGATTTGGGCAAAGATGTATTTAGTACCACTTACATTCCCTTGTTAGGCAAACAAAACTCTCCTTTACTCATTTTAATATATTTTAATTCTTTAGAGTATCTAGCTATGCCTAAACACTGCATGTACACAGAGTAGTTAGGTTTTTGTCTATATCCAGGCAAACATCATCCAGCATAAGGACTCAAATGGGTCTTATTTCAAAAGTCTGGCTACCACCACCACCATCTGGAACTTAAAGAGGTGTAACTGCTGAAGTCAAAGGCTCCTGTACAACCAACTAAAACTGTTAATTCATGTAATACCTGAGGATTTTCACAAAGAAAAATGGACTCTTGAAAATTAATGCGGTAAGTCCGTAAAACTTGGATCTGGCCCTTCTCTTTGCAGACTGGACAATACTCATGTGTTGTTGTTTCCACAGGATCACACTTCTGAAAAAAAAAAATAAATAAAAAAAAAATAAAAAGAATGTATTTCATATATTATCCCAATTTAAGACATACATATATATCAAGATAGAAAACCAATGTGCAACTTCTAAATACAATACCTAATGAACTAGATTCTGGTTTTTAAGCATTTATAAGATATGTATTTATAAGATATGTATAAGATTTGTATGATAGAGTGTTCTCAACAAACTTATATTTTAAGTGTTCAAATATTTAATAAGGTATCTTCAACAAAATTATGCAACATTTCATTTTACTTGAACTAAGCCATGCTTTTTGCCTGGGAACACAAGATCTTTGAAAGACAAATCAATTTTCATAGGAATGCAAACAGTTGTAAAAACAGTGCCAGTAAAAAAAAATCATTGGCACAGATATAGTTAGAATAATCTTTCGCCATTGGTACAGATTTCCGTGGAAGATAATTTTGAGTTGTGTTTTTTTTGTAAAATTAAGACCAATTAAAAATTTCTCAAAGCAGAGAAAAAATATGAACTTTGCACACATATAAAATAAGTTTCAACTGACTTTTCCCAAATACCCCACCATGTGGAGTGTCGATTTCCCTATACCAGTCCCTTCTCCAATCACTTGCAAACCATTTGTAGTCTTCTGCGTATCCATCATTCTGAGCCACTGGCTAACTTATGTCACTTGTAACAATGTCATGACCACTAAGGACTTTTCAAAGACTCCTGAAAAATAAGAAGTGAATAAAACAATTAAATAAAAATACTATTATATCTTGGGAAACAAAAACAGCAACAATAATGCAGCCTGTATTTTCTGTGAGAATAAATCGTATTTTCTTAACTGAAAAGACTTGTTTTCTAATGCAGATTATGAATTCCAAAGTTTACATTAAGTCATATAATAGATTTAACAGCTGTAGGTCCTCAATTTGCAAATTTATCTTTAACTTTGCACTCTGTAAGGTCTCACATCTTTTCCAAGTGCACCCTAGTTTGCAAAAACATAGATGTCTTGCTTGGGCATCTAAGCTTACTGCATCTAAGCCTCAGAAAGAATTAACTTCCTTAAAAATGGCTACAGTGAGATCCTATATATTTGCAGACAGCTGCTGAGGAACATTAAAAAATAACTAACCAAAAAAGCCCCACTACTGCTTATTTCAAAGCAGTGAATTTAGTGCATGATAAACTACTAAAAGCTTATCCCGCAAATGTAAAATTTTTTAACTGCAGAAAGGCATCCTGCTGTTCCTGTCACTTTTGGAAACTTCTCCTAATGTAATTTTAACAATGTTACAGTCTTCCTGGCACACTGAAGCTCTTCCACAGTATCACTGCTATGTAACTTTGCATATTTTGTTCAGTATAAGCCAAGTACACATCGCACACATCCAGAGGCAGCTCCTTAAGTCCATTCCTTCACTGGTACAGAGGCTACAACTTGAATCAGCCAGAGAAACACAAGAGGTTTACAACTGCAAGGTCCCAATTCTGCTCCTGCTGACTTCAAAGGGAAATAACTAGAATAAATATCTCTTGAAGATGCAGGAGGAAGCTGAATTTCAAAGTCACCAATATAATAGTACCTTTCCTTCAGCCATGACTGTTCTCTTTTCATGACTTCCACCAAGTAACATCCTCTTCCACACCGTGATGTCCTTTCAACCCTTTCTTACACTACAGCACTACCTCAGATGATAGGTCTTTTTGAAAAATATAAATTTCCCAAGGCATTCTTGGAGACCCGTGCAAATACGAGCTCAACACAAAACCGTTTCCAATACTGGACAAGGAAAGACCCTACAGAACTGAACCAGAATTCTAAAAAACAACAGAGCATCAATTAAAAAAGTACAGTAGGAAAATGTAACAACTAATTTTAAATCAGTGCCCAACAACAACTTAAGAGGGTCAAAATGAGATGATGGTGTGTCCTGTTGACACTCTGCATGTGTTCAGTAGCACTTCTCAGAATTACTGGGCGGCAGCATGTAAAGACAGCATACCCTCACTTTTAAAACTAATGGTTGTAAGGGAAGGTAAGAACAAAAATAGCAACTCACATGCCTTAGTGCAAGTGTTTAATTTTCAAAGCAGAGTTGGAATGTATACAAGGCTCACTCAAGGTAAAAATTAATAAATTAGCTCAAAGTATTAGAGCTTGTTGGACGATACATGAAAGGCAAGCTCTCCAGATCTTCACATGGTGTCAACAGCACTATCACAGTGTGACACAACTCATTATAATTTATTTTGTCTAGTGAGGAACTTTATCTTTGTTGTTTTTATTAAGTTGTGCAGATATAAACCACACTACGACACATAACAACTTCACTCTCCATGCTATAACTTGTAAGAAAACATTTCTAGTTTATTCAGAGGCCTTTGAGTGATCAGTTCCTTGGCCTGAAGCAGTCTTAACTCTCCAGAGTAAATAAAAAACACAGGCTGGAACTCTAGGCAATTTCTCACCACATAAGCACACATATTCAAAAAGGATAAGAACACCAACAACCTGCAGGTTATTCCCTTTCAAGCATGCCTTGCTTTTATAAAATATATTTGTTTCTCTACAATTCCTTGTTTTCCCTGTTATTCCTCTCAAAAGACAAGCGACTATTTTTTTCAGTTATGTTCTATCACTTCTGCTCTTTTTAAAGCTTAAGTGCTGTTCTGAGATGTACAGTACCTTCCCCAAATATAGTCACCCAGCAACAGTACTACGCTACTGGAGTCCAAGACTTTGATTTCACTCATGAATAAACATTAAAAAATATTAATTTTCCTTTTATTTCAAAGACATAGGAACAATAAGCAAATAAAACAGGTCTGCCAGTACTAGATACACAGACTGGTACCAAGTGGCTTGCCTGTACATTTCAGTATTTGTAACATTACAGAAAGTTATTAGTGATCTCTGCACTATGTAAAAAAAATGGCATAACATTTGCCAAAACACATAGCCATTTAAAAAGAATGTTGAAACAAGGACTGAAACAACCCATTGTAGCAATGTGCAATATCTGCATTACAGATGAGAGAGAATGCAGTAATGCACTTTCAAGCTTACTGGGTCACGTTTTAAGTAATTTATGCTACTTTCCCTTTTTTTATCCTGGATACTTGTAAAATGTAATGTAAAATATGCAAGGGATCTGCTATAATTATTAAGGTCATCATAATCCTTCCTTGAGTAGATGGTTGATCTAATGGCTCACTGCTGCAGAATAGGGAGGTCTCTCTTCTTTCTCTCTTCCCACCTTCCCTGACAGCTCACATCCTCATCGGACTTTCCACAAGCTAACTGAACTCACAAAACAGCAGCAAACTCAGTAAAGCATGAGGTTTTTTCACTATTCTAGTGAGTTAATTTGGCCTATGAATAGGTCTGATGAGCTACAGAGCTGACAGGGCAGAAGACATGAAACAATAAAAAGGTGAAGGATTGAGAGATACGAGTTTGATGGATGGGACTGTTAAGATGGCTAAGGAATTGGCTGGGTGACTGCATCCCAAGAGTTGCAGTCAACAGCTCAATATCCCAAGTAGACGCTAGTAATAAGTGGTGTCCCTCAGAGGTCTGTACTGGGACCAGTACTGTTTAATATCTTCATCTCTGATACAGGCAGTGGGATTGAGTGCACCCTCAGCAGGTTTGCAGATGACACAAAGCCAAGTTGTGCCATTAATACTCTCGAGGGAAGGGATGCCAGCAAGAGGGACCTTGACAGGCTTGAGAGGTGGGACCGTGCAAACTGATGAGGTCCAAGGAGGCCGAGTGCAAGGTCCTGCACATGGGTTGGGGCAATCCCTGGTATCAATACAGGCTGGGGGATGAAAGGATTGACAGCAGCCCTGTGGAAAGGGACTTTGGGATACTGGTGGAAGAAAAGCTCAATATTAGCTGGCAATGTGCACTCACAGCCCAGAAACTCAACCATATTCTGGGCTGCATCAAAAGAAGCATGGCCAGCAGGTCAAGGGAGGTGATTCTCCCTCTCTGCTCTGCTCTCATGAGATGCCACCTGCAGTACTGCATCCAGCTCTGGGATCCCCAACATAAGAAGGACATAGAGCTCCTGAAGCAAATCCAGAGGAGGGCCACAAAGATGATCAGAGGACTGGAGCACCTCTGCTATGAAGACAGGCTGAGAGACATCACTGTGGCTTTTCAAAAGTTAAAAGGGCTTGTAAGAAAGATAGAGAACCTTTTTAACAGGGCCTGTAATGACAGGACAAAGTGAAATGTTTTTTAACTGAAACAAGGATGGCTTATATTGGACATAAGAAATAAATTCTTTACAATGAAGGTGATAAGACACTAGGACACATTGCCCAGAGGAGTTGTGGGTGTCCCACCCCTGGAAGCGTTGGATGGGGCTTCGAGCAATCTGATTTAGTTGGGTTAAATTATTTTTAAAAGACCTTTCCAACCCAAACCAGTGATTCTATGGCAAAAGGGACCTGGACCTTTTGATAATAGTGAGCCATACCTTGTGAAACAGTACCTTACAAACATCAGCTGTAAATGGCATTAAACAGGTGACAGAACCCTGATTACAATACAGTGAACAGAACATCTCTCTGTTTAAAGGCTCAAGGGAAACTTCAAAATGACCTTCTTGTAAATGACCCTACAAGGCTTCTTTCCTTCATCAAGGAGATAGTGAAAAGATGAGAAGAAACAAAGAAAAGTCTGAAAAGAAAATGTCCACTGTTATTTGTTACCTATCCATTCTTTATACAAGAAGAAATCAGAGTATTAAGTTTTTTTCTTTATCTGAGTTCATAACTATAAATATTCAAATCATTATAAAAAAATTTAAAATCAAAATTTTGACCACAAAATGTATTGCACTGAGTGTAACAGTAACAAGGCATCATTGCTGTCACAAAGCAACTCTCTGCAGGGCATCCCGTAAGCGCTGGGCAGAACTGCAAGTATCCCCTAAGTGGAACCAAACACAAACGTCTTTGCTGCAATAAATCTAACACAGACTAATAATAACTTAAGAAAAAACCTGATGAAGTTGTAATTACACTGCTATTCTAAAAGGTCCTTCTACAGTCAGACTTCTCTTAAACCTCCTTACATTAAATGCCTTTATAGGTGTATGACAAGGACTCGGAACACGTTTTGCTGACGAATCATTCAGTCCATTTGAAAAAAAAAAAAGTGAGTTAGTGGGGGAAAAATACAGCCTAAATGCAGTTTACGATGGCTGCAGCTGAGAGAGGTTTGAGGAAGGGCCTTGGAGCAGGCAGAGCCTCAGCCCATGGCCAGGCTGCCCTGCCTCCGGCACCAAACGCTGCCCCACTGCCCCTAAGGGTTTCCATTCGCACCCAGAACGTTCCATATGCCACGGAAACGCTGCAGAAGAAAACAGTACTTGTGGAGGTAACTGCCAGAGCCCGGCGAGCTGCGCCAGAGCAGATCTGTGTACACACACGAGCAGGCCCCACGTGCGTCCCTCCCCAGGCGGGGCTCCGGCCGGCGCGCCCCGGCCGCGCAGCTACTGACATGAAATACTCAGTCGGCATTTTGAGACCCCCCAGGCAACCGCCCGGACCCGCGCGGCCCCGCACGCTCTGCCGAGGGCTCGGCCCGCACGGCCCCGCA